TATATAATTATAAGTAAATAAAGTAAGTAAGTTAGTTTAGTTTTTATTTTAGTTATAATAAAAATAAGTACTACTTACTTCTTACTTTCTTACTTATTACTCTTCTCTCTCTCTCTCTCTCTCTCTCTCTCTCTCTCTCTCTCTATATATATGTATATATATATATATACATACATATATATCTATAATAATTATATACGTCCAGTGCGAGTGGGTCGCGAAGTGGCTGATACTATCAATGTGCTGCTGAATTAAACTTAATTTTCTCCAAGCGAAGTCTCGCGGTTTTAATCAATCGACTTGTCTCCTGCTCAATGACATAGACTATACAACATCGATCAAGATAGTCTATCCATAGAAACTGTAAAACATATAATTGCTAAGCATGTAAATTTCTAAACAATAAAACTTAGTTACATCAATAATATTGATACGCTCTGATGACAACAATTGAAATAACAAACGGAGACTAAATACCTCTTGTCGCCGTCTAAAATGAGCGCGTAATTCACGGAGGCAGATGAGACAGGAGTTGCTGACTGACTGGACAAGGAGTAGCTGACATTTCTAGCAATTGATCGAGAACTACCTGATTATGAGCGACGTGTTTCATTCGTTTGCGCTGAGCGGCGAAATTAACAAATAAGTTACGGGAATTGTGGCGATACATGGTGACGTGTGTAACACCGGTCGCTGAACGGTGGCGGCACACGGCATGGCAAAATATTGAGAAATTAACATATTTTCAGGGTCAACGCGTTAATTTATTTCACATAATGATGAAATTAATGAGTGATATCAAGACTGCAGACAAGAATCCTGATGATGTTGGGCGGCTAAAATACAAGCCTTAACCATTTTTATTTGCGTAACAATCAGGAATCCAGTCACTATAGATGTGTGGCGCGCCAGCGAGTCTAGACGGCCACGTGACTGCGAAGTAGCCAATAAAAGTAGGTAGGCTCATAAATGCGATAGCTTCCATGGGTGTGGAGGAGCATAACACATGGTGTGCACGCGCAAACTATTTCAATCAAACGCAGCGGCACCAGCAGCAAACACGTCTAAAGGATGTTACAAGTCATGCAAAATTTATCTTGTACGGTGTATTGTACAATTTCTTACGCAAAACATTAACTCGATGAGCATTCCACGATAAATACTTGACGTACACCCCCGCACAGATAGTGGGATCGACCTACCCACATAGGTGCCGTAGTTTGGAGTCAGTGCAGAAGTGAGGTGGTATTCAACAAGTCTCATGGTTATATTGTGGATGTAATGTGAGTTTTCACTCATGGTAGGCCTATGCCAAGATTATGCAGTGGATGCATGTTTCCTTGGAATTATCGCATGCCAGGATTTCGGCGAAGGACAGCCTTAGTGAAAAGGTTATGGCGATTGAGAAAATGCGAACTAGGGGTAGAACAGGACGGCGGTGATAGCCGTGATTTCATCGCGGCAGCCGGTCACAATTGTCTGAAGCAACTCTCCGACGAACAACTTGCGACGTTGTTGGAAGCTGTGACTGGTGGTGGAACGGCAACAGACTGTGTTCATGTACCGTACGACCCCGTCGAAACCGGCAGTGGACATGTATCTCCACATGTGTTATTTTGTGAAATCTGGAGGTGGCCCGATCTTCGCGCGAACGGTGGGCTCCTCAAGCGACTGTCGACTTGTCCGGCGCCCACGACAGCGTCCGTATGTGTCAACCCGTTTCACTGGAGCCGGCTCTGCACACCAGGTAAAATGTCACATGCAGCGCTGTCGAATTAACGTTACCGTTACGTTAGAACCTACCGCCGACATGTTTGTTTGTTGAAGTTCGTTCCTAGCACGTTTCATGATCTACTCGGTACGTACATGTACGATCTGGTACAGACGGACTGTACGTACTCGCTGCACAATCCTAGTTTAGGACCCCGGCTCTCATTTTCGCAAATGTGCAAAACTAAGCCTGGTTGCTAAACTAGGATTGGGTCCATATTCGCTGACTGGCACATAATAGGTGTACATGTGTGTTAGGTAGGGTTTGTGTACGTTTGTTACTTATGTTAGTGCGTATTGTTTACATATAAACCATTGTTATTGCCGCTTCGTACGAGGAAATGTTAATGTACATGTCAGTACGGTCAGTTCCCCGCAAAAACGAGTCACGATCAGAACCAGGTAGCATGTACTATCAGTATCAGTCTATCAGTGTATCACACATAAAATATATACATTTTATAATATATACCGATGCCGGCCACTGTGCAAGTAGCTAGTATTTTAACATTAGTTTCCTAAGCACTTTACAAAAGCATCTGTTCTCGATGTGTGAACACGCTGGGGTGGTATTCCCAGTATTAGAAGACATGTACACATTGTAGGCGGGTGAGAGGAAGTGATATCCGATGTAATTTGCAGGCGCACATTTTATAGTCCAGCACTAACAACATCTACACATGTATACTAATACTAGTACATGGTTATCTGCTCAATTATATTAATACATTATGTACTAATTTTATTTTTCATCATTATGTGTGTTACAATAAACAGTCCTTGTACATGTGTATACATTGTGATACATTGGTATACTCGATGCATTTTCTAACGTATTACATATAGTAGGGGGGGGGGACACAATGTATATAATTATATACTCTGTTACATGTACGATATTCTGTTCTCCTGCTACACAAATCTAGTTGGTGAATTCCCAATACCTACAGCTGTTATTTAGTAGCTCATCTACATTTCTCATGTTTCAGAGTCGCCACCGCCTCCGTACAGGGCTAGCACCAAGGTGTTTAGCGAAGAGCTGCGGAGACGAGAAGGTATTTGTACTTTGCATCTGTCACCTATACTTTATGGGCGTACCTAGCAAATACTATCGAATGTTTGTCAACATACCAGTCAATAACGTGCTCATATCCTAGATATGAAACTGAGTTATATCGAAATGCACGGCATCATCGTGTATTTTTGCATGTGATCGGTTTGAGATTGAAATTGTATACGTGTATTTTAAAATGTTAGGAACTGTACGTGGACATTCATCTACGTATTTAGGAAATTTATTAAAGTAATGTCATTGCAGATGAGCAAGGTCGGCTATACGGGGACAGTAGTACGGAGACGTGTGACCACTATCGGTCATTCACTGGTCAGTGTGCAGGTAAGAATATTCTGAGGTGCTTTACACAAAATGCCTATCCTGACACCTCACTTTCACTCTATACTAGTATCACTGTCATTCTCGAAGGCATGTCTAAGAGAAACACTGGCCGATTCCGCCATAGGGGGAGGGTGTTTGTTTTGTGTGAGCTTGTCCTGTAAGGATGTGTTTGGCACCCATTAATATATTAGAGCCGTATGGGCATTATATACATGGATTTAACATTCACATTACATATTTGCCAAAACCTTGTTTGTGGAGGTTAAAATTTGACTTGGCAGCAGGTTTGCTTTGACGTGATAGCCACAACACTGCACTGACCATGCTCTCCCTTAGTCTAGCCACTGGGGCCAACAGCCTGTAGAAAGAAAGATATTGGCCAATCATTTCCCATGTGTCTGTCTCTCGTGGTGCTTTCAGACGCCGGTCACGTGCAGCACATTGTGTATCTGAATGCATATTTACTGTCTTGATGAATGTCAAGTAGCCATTGTGTGTACTATGTTGTTTTAGGCAACTCTATTTTTATCCCGATTGCTGAGTGTGTTACATTGTCTGGCCGCGGTCACAACAGGGGCAGGCTAGTGTTCGCCTACTCCCTCCTGTGGTGCTCCACGTCTGACTGACGTGGGTGCTTAGTAGTGGCAGAGTCCGGCGTTCTCTCTGTGGTCCGTAGAATGAATGTATAAACCACCGGCCTGCTGTCATGGTGGCTTAGCTGTACGTACATGTGATTAGTCCTAACCCACACCAAATCCACCAAAATCGTCGGTGTGGTCATTGGTCAGAGGAAACTCGGACTAATATGTGATATGCTGGATCGCTGCCAGTCTGCGCGACAGATTGACGCTGAAAGTGGCTAGAAATTTCAAGTTAGCTCTATGCCAGGTCACTCGGTTCGCTATTATTTTGCATGTTGACAACGGGCTTTATTAATGCACGTGGTGTGCTCTAGTTTGGACACTAGTCGTGCATACGCACTCACTCGTACACACACACACACGCACGCACGTACGCACGCACGCACACACACACACACGCACGCGCGTTCTTATTTATGGCTGGCCAAGTCCTGCCTCGCCCCGAAGGAAGGGATAAACAGACTTCAACATTCCAGCGAACTGTGCATTCTACTGAAAGGGATGTGTGTAACTGGTTCTGACAGCGGCAGCCCCAGCTTACGCTGCTGTGCGGCCCCGACTCCGCTGTATACGATCCCAGTGAACAGCTGAAAATTGGCCCCGAGTCCTGCGTGCGTGGCACACACACCGCCGACGTCGTTCTGTTTCCAGGCACGGTCGTGGTGGCGGGCCCGGCGTTATCGGTTGGTTGGTTCTGGAAGACGTCCGCCGGCCACGTTAGTTTCGGCAGTCATGGTCGTGGCTTGCGGGGGAGGGAGGCGAAGGCGCGTTCCCCACATCGTCGCCGACGAGTAGAAACGATGGAGAGTGAAGGCGAGGTCTGCTAAGAAAAATGGCGATCGATTGCGAATTTACATGGATTGTCGAAACTTTCGCACAGTGTTCGGCGGCGCATTCGAAAACGAAGCCGGAGAGAGAGAGCGAGAGAGAGAGAGAGAGAGAGAGAGAGAGAGAGAGAGAAGAGAGAGAGAGAGAGAGAGAGAGAGAGAGAGAGAGAGAGAGAGAGAGAGAGAGAGAGAGAGAGAGAGCGAGAGAGAGAGAGAGAGAGAGAGAGAGAGAGAGCGAGAGAGAGAGAGAGAGAGAGAGAGAGAGAGAGATATTGAGAGCGCGAGATTGGAAGTATGTACTGTAGCTACTAGCTACAGTGAACCTGTGCGAGTAATGCAGGCATTCGTAATTTGCATAGGCGTTGCGATTTGGTTCCGTCCACCTCCTCCGCACTGCTCGGCTCGAACATCTAATATTCACTGTAGTGCCACGCATAATGAAATCTTGCTTGCTGAAACCCGACTGAATCACCGAACGTCTGGAAAATTGGCATTTTTTTCGACTTTAGATTTTTTGTCGTTGTGTTTTATGCGCGTATTACATGTCCGTGGCCACATTGCGTTCGCATCAAATGGCTGACAGCGGTTCTGCCCTCGTGCCCGACCCACCCTCGAAATGCTTGCTCTGTTTCCTCCAAACAAAAAATCATGTAACGGCGGCCTAATTTTCCCCCGCTTAACTTTAATCTAATTATTGCTGCTTCTGCTTGAAATAGCATAGGCATCCATCAAAGCTAAGGATGGTTGGTATTCGATTTCTAGACGGGGCGAGTTTGTTCGAGAGATTAAAAGCTGGCACCAGAGTGTGATTGTGTTTCATAATATGCATGCGGGTAACGCTGACGGTCGGGTTCCATAGCGCCTTGCTGGCGGCTCACCCAGATCCCTCCTCGGGATCGTCGTCTGACCCAGCCAACCCAGCCAGCCTCTTGAAAAACACAGTCGTGCATCCTCTCCTCCTTCGTATCGTGGCTCCTCGTTACGTGATCCGGTGAGCACGCTTCCATCATCCATTATGCAGGGAGTTTGTTGTTGTCAGATGCTGCTACTGCTGCTGCTGCTGCCTGGATGTCGGCAGCTTGTTTGCTGTTTGCAAGAGAAGGGCGGCTTCCCTTCGGAACGATTCGATTCGCTCCTCCCGGATACGCTTGCCGCTCCCTCCGTCGGTACATCTGCCTCTTGATCGTCGGTGCTAGAGTCCTTCTGCGTCCCTTCTGCTAGAGTCAATCCGAACGGATGTTTGTCTCCTCGCAGTGAAGAGGCGTGCGTGCGTGCGTGCGTGCGTGTATGTGTTAGTGAGGGTTTTGTGTTACCCCCTCTCTTTTCAGATTTGCTTCGGCTCGTTAATTTCGTGGTTACGTGCGATTTTTGGTGGTCTCGTGATTACAACACGGTGGCGTGTTGTTTTTTAGACGGCTGTGGTTCGGTTTGGTGGCCAAGTTAGAACTCGTGTTGCTTGTAAACAGCGCTGTTTAAATATAAAGGCTGTAGTTGTATAAACACTTGAGGGGTGCGGGCGGGTTGGGTAGGTGGTGGTGGTGGTGGTTCGAGGCAAAGGGGGGGGGGTACATTTACACGGTGCTGAGCGCGTAAGTACTCGGTAGAATCTTCCACTCAGGGATTCGTCGTGTAGCGCTAGTCGGTAACTGTAACTTCTCGAGATAGCTAGTAATGGCGTGAATGCGTGCGTTGATAGCAGTTCGTAGGGATATACACACCCTATGCTGCCGCGCTGTTGACTCCCCACGCGTCACCCTTGCGTTTTCCTCTGACTAACCAGAGAACCCCGCGAGTTCGTGACCTACGTGACGTCATAGCGTACCGCTTGTTCAGTGACGTCACGATCGCGTTGCGATGGCAGCGTGACGTCGCGGCTTCTCGCAGCGAATCCGGAAAAAAATCGACGCCATCGTGCCGTTGTTTGTTTTTTTCTTCTATACACGCGCAAATGATTCGATGCGATTCTGCTACGAGAGAACGCCGAGCTTCCTGCACTGCTGCGCTGCCTGCCATCTCTGGCGGCAGTTTGGCAGCAGTGACCGCGAGCACTCGATAAATTGCTAATGCGCATCTTAAATCTCGCTCTCTCTCCCGTCTGCGTGGAGACTGACGGGAGAGAGCAGCAGATCTTCGGCTGGTGCCGGCCGACCGGCGGCGTGGATTTCGTCGTATACGCGAGCCGTTGCGCGTCTCGGCCGTTTTTTTCTTATCGGCGGGCTGTAAATAGGCAACGAGAAGGGGATTTCAGACGAATCGAGAGCAGTTACAAATTGCAATGCGGCGGCAACTATAGACCGAGCAGCGAGCGTGCGTGCGTGCGTGCTTGTTTGCGTGATGTGTGCGTGCATGCTGTGGGTCTGGGTGGCGCCGGTTGAGAGAGAGAGAGAGATGAGAGAGAGTGTGTGTGTGCGTGTGTGTGTGTGTGTGTGTGCGTGCGTGCGTGCGTGCGCGCGCGCGCGTGCGTGTGTGTGTGTGTGTGTGTGTGTGAGAGAGTGGGAGGGAGGTCTCGAGCGGGCAGATACGGTCAACTCTCTTAGTTGTCATGACAGACGTGGCTAGCTGCTAGCATCAGATACGGTCAGTTGCATGAGTTGGCATGGGAGATGTAGGTAGTATATTAGCACCAGCTAAGGTCGGCTGCATGAGTTGTCATGGCAGGCGTAGCTAGCTGCCTGCATTACATACGGTCAGCAGCGGCATTGACCCATAGCACGGGTTTTCAAAGGCACAGATACACACACGTATACACATACAGAGACACGAACGAGCCGAGAGTCTGCGTACCCGGCGTGCAGTGCTGGTAAGTTAGTGGTGGTGGTTGGTGCGATCATGCGAAGCGCGCCGTGCCCCACTGCGCACATCCATCCATCCATCCATCCGTGCTCGCCTCATTAAAAATTCAGCTACAGCTTGCATTTATCGTAAAATCATTGAGACTATATGAGGGACCTGTCGCCAGCGTAGTGCACCTTTTATTTGCCGAGAGAAGTAGGGACAGCCAGAGCAAACAGCCCCTGACCCACCGGCGACTAATGGCTCTATAAAAAGCGGCGCCATTTTAGGTTGCCGGCTTGAGCGCGAGCGGGCGTGAGCCGATGTTTAACGTGGCGGGTACGGCTTTTAGCGGCCGAATCTTCTCCTCGCGAAATCGTAAAACGAGCGTGGCGAGTGTTTGTAAAGTAAATACTGTAAAACGCGAACAATGAATTATTGGCTCGGTTCACATGTGCCAGCCGGCCAGTCCCCCGTCTTCGTGTGTGCGCGCGAGCTAGACTTGGCGCTATCGCACTCACTTCACGTGCGCGTGCGTGCTCGCCGAGGCGCCGTCTGCGCGCGTGAGCGAGAGACTGCGCGTATACATAAATTTATTAATATTATTACATTACGTACCGTGCGATGAGAGCGTTCGCTCTGCATTCCGTTCCTCATCCATTAAATATAATAGGATTTCTGTGCGATAGGTGGATGTGAGTGGGTCCATTCGCTATCTACGTGATGCGCGATTGGTTAAACAGGGAGCTCTGCAATCATT